CACACCAGCGCGGCACACCTTCCACGGAACAGCGTCACCTCCCGCTCCCCACCCGGAGGAGCGAGGGGACTCCCCCTCCGTTCGCGTGGGCAGGACGGCGCGGGGGGCGGGGGCAGCGGCTCTGCCCGCGGGGGCTCCGCGGCCGCGCACCGGCCCCGCCCCCCGCGCGCCCGCCCCGCGGCGGCGGCCCCGCCCCGCCCCGCGATCAGCTGCGCGCGCGTCACGTGGGCGCGTGTCGAAGGTCACGGCGCTCACAATGGAGCTGTCGCCGTACGCGCAGGGCGGGTGGCGGGTCCTGGGCGACCCCCGCCGCTTCCCCCGCCGCCCCTTCGCCGCGCTGCTCCGCGCCGCCTTCCGCAGCCTCCTCGAAGACCCGCAGGCTGCGCTGGGTAAGGGCGAGGCGCGGGGGTGGGGCGGTGCGGGCCGCGCCGCTCCGCGGGGCGCGCAGAGGGGGCGCCGCGCCCCGCCCGCCCCCGCGTATGGACACGCATGTCCCCGCGGGGCCCGGCGGCTGTCCCCGCTTGTCCCCGCCCGTGGACGGCTCCAGGGTGCCGCTGCGCGGGGTGTCACCGCTAATGCGCGACTGCTTCATCAAAGCTCCGACCCGTCAAAAGCAGAGGGGGGGCCGGGCCGGGTCGCCCCTCGCGTTCGTGTCCGCGGGAGTGGGGCAGAGCGGCGGTGTTCCCCCGCTGCCGCCGTGTGGGGGTTTTTTCGCGTGTGGACACGTCCTACGGCAACCTTGTCGTGAGGGTGCACGTCCGTACAATTAATTTTGCAGTGTTAATGACGGACGGAGGGAACCGCCGGTGCTGGGCTGGGCGGCAGGCGGCCCCGGTGTCCGGCCCGGCCGGGGGCTCCAGCTCCGCTCCTCGCCATTAACAGGCTGCTGGGACGGGGCTTGGAGAGGAAATTGAGGTTTTCCTTCTTTTTTTTTTTTTCCCCCCTTTTTTTTTTTTTTTTTTTTTTTTTTTTAATGGGAAGGAGATGCAGAGGCGGCGGGGCGCGCAGCGCCGCACAGCCCCGCCTGGTACGGCTCCCCCCAGCCATTGCTTCAGCCCCTCACCTCCTCCTCCACCTCCTCACACCTTGCCTACTTGCTCCGTCCTTTCGCTCTGAAACACTAAATGTGTTTCATTTTGAAGTTTCTGTGGGAAAGATAGTGTTCAAAGGGCGAGCAGCAGCCCTGCGTACCGTGTGCTGGGGTTTGGCAAGTAAATGTGTCATCAGTAATTAATTTATTTTAGACGATCCAGACCTGAAAGATATTGACCCTACAGTATTAAAACATTGCCATGCTGCGGCTGCAACATGTATTCTGGAGGCAGGGAAACAGAAAGCTGACATATCTGCTATAAGGTACTCATAGTTGGAAGCTTCACCAGTTTTCTAGCGGTTGTTACTTAAAAGTGTACTGCTGAGTTAATGGTAACAGAAAACTAATAAATTCTTTTTTCCCTGTAGCACATGTCTAGAAGACTGTAAACTGGATAAAGAGAGAATAGAACAATTTTGCACCGAATATCAGGTTTTAAAAACAACTTTAACATATTAATTTTTTTCCTCTCATAGGAATTTATTGAACCTAGTAAATATTTTTTCTTTTTTTTCCCCCCCCTCTCCAGAAAAACAAGGATGCATTGGAAATCCTATTGGGAAGGTAGGTCAATCAAGTCAGCACAGAAACATAGTTTCATCTACAGTTAGTTTGAAATTGTTCTGGAAAACACTTTTGCATGGTTTAGGTAATTTAAGTAAGAAATATTGTTCCATTTAAAAAGTACATTTTTAACAAACTCTAGAAAACAGCTGTTGAAACTTTTCTTCATTAGGAATTCTACTCTAAAAAAATCTTTTTGAGCTTTTGAAGAAGCATTACAGGGATCATGAAAAAGTTCTTTATTGATGGACGGCTTTAGAAAATGACCTTTTCTTTTAGTGTAGGAAACTTGTAACTGTTTTGTCTTTCAGCATAGGCAGATCTCCTCTCCACATAACTGATGTGTCTTGGCGCTTGGAATATCAGATCAAGGTAATTTTAATGCACTAAGGTGTTTCTTTAGTCTGTCTTAGTGCTAAGAAATGACTGGTTTATGTGTTCTTTGTTTTTAATTTAGAACAATCAACTTCATAAAACTTATCAGCCTTCCTACTTGGTGACCTTAAATGTAGAGGTACTGTACTCCCAGCCCCCTGAAAGGAAAAAAATGCAATTTCATGATTCTTTTAAATAAAATAGACGTTGTTGTTTGTTTGTTTTTTTTCCTTCAGAACAGTGATTCAGGATCACACCCAGATGTTAGTTTTAGTTGTACGATGGAGCAATTACAGGTACTTGTTTCCTTCATCATTCTATGCTTAGCTCCAGTTGTGGATGTAGGTGTTTTTAGCAACTTGCCAATCAAAATTAAATCATATATACTGTTATTTAAAAAAAAAAAATCTCTACTGGGAGAATACAAGAGAATCTTCCATAAAAATTATCTGAGTGTATTTTACTGTCTTTTCAAATAAAGTTGCAAAGTAACTGATTTTAGTTGCGTGAGGAGTGTTTTACATACTGCATAAATATTTTGTCTGTTTTCATAGCTGTAATCTATATATGTATTTGGGAGGAAATTCATAATTTTCTGAAACTCTGATTTCCCGTGCTTTAGAGAAATGATTAAAGAAGCTGGTTCAATGATTTAAATGTGTCATGATTAAAAATAGAGAGCAAACTGAAGGCTCTTCAGTGGTGTTAATGACATGTAAGAAATGTACTGAAACAAACGTTGATCTTTGTTTAGCGATTTAAATGTGTAACTGAACAATAGAGGTATTGTAATGCTTGGAAGTGGCCAAACTCTGGAGGATCGGGAAGAGGGGTTGTGGAGAGAGGAAAAGCAAGATATTAAAACTTTAGGTTTTAAATGTGTGTCTTAAAAGTTGTCCTTTTCTCACTAATGAGTGTTTCTAGTCAGTTTGCTGACATAGCAAAATCTGACATGCTTTGGCTAGAGAATGATCCTGGTACAAAATTGCACTCAAAATATTTTCAGTGTTTTAGAAATGCATGTAGTACTTCAAAGCCTGGAGCGGATGTTAGTGTTAGCCATTGTGGCAATACTGATAAAACCTACATGTTAATAGTAGCGATCTGGTTTAGGAGCAAATACATTTTTAAAAGTGTTTTCCTTCAGTTCCCACTTTTCTGACTACACTGTAAAATATGGAGCTGTTTAATTACTTGCTGGCATTGTTTGTCAGTTGCAACATTTCTTTGTGCTACAAGGTGCTGGTTTCCCTTGCCTCTCTGTATAAAAAAGATACTCTGTTCCTCTAGCTGACCTTCTAAAAAATACGTTTATTCTAAGACAATATTTCATCTCTTAGGATTTAGTTGGAAAACTAAAAGATGCTGCAAAAAGTCTAGAAAGAGCGACTCAGATGTGATTGAAGGAAGGTGTCAGCCTGCTGAGCTGAAGTACTCTCATTCCTAAGAGTGTCTCCTAAATGACAAATGCCTTTCATCTCTTGATGCAAACTGTCCTTTTTTTTTTTTAAGTCCCTGGATGTGAATTAAATGAAACAACTTTTTTACGTCTGCATTTGGTATTCCTTGCTCATGTAATTTCTTTTTATTAATTGTTAAGTATTTGCTTAACTGTCATGTCATCAAAGCATTCCTTCTATCTTATTTTGTATATTTTTGCATTTGTCGCTGCTTATTTTTCTCTGTTATCTAATAAAAGTTTATTCGCGCCTGTTCTGCAATTTCTATGGGTGAATTAGCTGTACCTAAAAGTAAGATGCTAAACGTTAGATCAGCTCAGTGAGGCGAAAGTCCCTTCCTCCCGTGCCGCGGCTGCGGCGCGTTTGCTAAATCGCCCGCCGCGCTTTGTCATTTCACTCCAGCCGATCTTACATCTCCCCTACGACTAAAGGTTGGACCCCGGCGCTGTGGCAAGAAAGGGTTCAGTTTAATCGTATGGGCTCGGGGTGCCTCGAGGAAAGCCGAGGGTCCGCGGGATGGAGCGGAGCCGGGTGGCGGCTCCGGCTCGACGGCAGGGCTGCTCCGCGGCTCTCCCGGCCGCCTTGGGCCGCTCCCGGCACCGGTGGTCTCCGCGGGGCCACTCGCTCTCGCCAGCAGGTGCGGTCGGGCTCCGCAGCGCGGCCCGTCCGCACCTGCCGGCGAGGAAGAGCGGCCCCGCAGAGGATGCGAGGCGGCCGCCGGTCCTTTACTGCGGAGCCAGGATTTTTCCTCTCCGTTCCTCCGCGCCCGAGCTGCGGGAGGCGTTTTGTCGTCGCCGGCGGCGAGCGACCGCGAGGGTTTCCCCGCTTCCCTCTCTCCCAGCTGGCCCGTCTTCCCCCCGCGGGGTGCGGGGACACCGCGGGTCCCCGCGACACCCGCTCCCGCCGCCGCTCGGGGCGGAAAAGCGGCCGCGCGGCCCCCGAGGGGACGCGCCTCCTCGACGGCGGCGGCTCCGTGCGGGCGAGGGGCGCTCGGCAGCGCGCACGCGGTGGCGGGGGCGCGAGGCCGCCGTGCGGGTCCCCCCGGGGGTCGCTCCGCGGCGGGACGGGGCGTGCGGGGCGGCCGCGGGTGGGAGCGCGCAACAAGTGCGCGGAGGGAGGTGAGGGCTGCGGGGGCAGCCGACGGGAGGCGTGTGGGGCCGGTGGGTGTGCGGGCAGGGGGGCAGCGGCGCGGGCAGGATGGAGAGGGCAACGCCGGGCGGGGTCCTGGGGGACGGGCGGGGATCGGATCAGGGGGCGCGGGGGCGACGAGGGCGCGGGGAGGGAGTGGGGGGCGGAGGGGGTGAAGAGGAGCCGCGGCGCGCGCGGAGGGAGCGCGGGGAAGGAGGGCGGGAGGCATCGGGGCTGCGGAGGGCGGAGGGAGGCGGGCGAGAGCCGCGGAGCGGGGCCGGGGGTCGGGGCGGGCGGTGAGGAAAAGGAGGAAAAGGAGGA